TAAACTTATTTTTTTCCACCTGCTCTCACCCTTATATGATTGGTGGAGTATAAGAATAAAAGGGCAAGAACAAATTACAAACCTAAATAACATAATCTCCTTGAAAATTAGTCCCATAATTACCATGGGCCATCACAAAAACAGATATTTGGGAGACAAACTTTGGAAATATTGCAAAATAAAATATCTCTTTTTAAAAACCAGATGTACATAAAAATGTGAACAACAAAACCCTTATAAATCAGTTTTTTTTCCTCTAGAAACTGCTAAACCTATTACTGATTTATATCTAAGCAGAGTATTTCCACAGCATTCTAATATACTACTCCATCAGGCAAACTGTCATATTGTTGCAAATAATGGATTTCTACAATAATTAGTAGGTTGAACCATAAAAATTACCATTTTTGTAGTTCAAACATGACCAGATAGTGGTACCAACTTTGTAGGTCAAAAATGATTGGAAATTGGCGATTTCATATGGTTTAAATTTTATTATTATCTGACTAATTTTTCCCCCCATGTTCTCATGACTTGAGAAATATATCAGAATACTCATTAGGAAAGCAAAACCTTTCAGGTTTGCTTAATTTTAGAGCAAAAATAATTAAGAATTCCAATTTTTCAATTGCAACTAAATTTTTTGCATGAGAGGTTTTACCCTTCCCTTTTTATGAGCTCCATGTACTGCATTATATTTCAAGTGGCATTATATGAGAACGTATTCTTGAAGAATGAAACCCATTCTTCTGGTTTCTGCTACATATGAAGAATCTTAAAATACACAGATAAAAGAAGCCAAACTTCCCTGCTATTATTCTTTTCCTAGCAATAATCCACAAATTCTAGGAAGAATCCACTAATTCTTCCTTCCTTTCACATCCTTGAATCTGAGTGGCCTGGTTGGACAATTCAAAAGGAAGAAAGCATCTGACCTTCTCAAAGTCCCAAACATTTCAAAAAGGGCTTAAAGAGTATTTTTTATCTCGTACCATCTCTGGGGCTCTTGTATCTTAATAAATGTCAAGCAACCCTTATAAACTAGATGACATGTAGAAGCTAATATCTAAACTCTTTCACTATGATTTCAGTTCTCCTTTTTAGCAGTACAGGATGTACATGAAGCAACAAACTCTCCAGATGTAGAACGGAGAAAACTTTCCTTTGGTTCCCTTCTATATCCTCTAACATTCTATCCCTTTCCTGATTTGTATTTGATCAGCAAACTGTGGAAACATTAAGCCTGTAAGGACAGCTTGCACATCAAAAACCTATGCCAACTTTTAAAATCATACCCAACTGGAGAATAATGGTGTAAATCCTCATCCTTTAAAGGAAATTCCCTAAAAGATTAAAATAATGAGCATCATATATTCACAAATAGCAATTCAAGTAACTCACTACTTGATATGAGTATATTTGGAAAGAAGGGATATTATTTTATGCACGATAAGGGTATAGACCAAATAAACTCTTCTCCAAATTATAGTAACTAAAAAATGTCAATGAACATTTATAATACTGTAGACCTTTTAGGATTTCAGCTCTAAATAAACTGATATGACTCATCTGGACAGAGGTTTTGGCAGAAGTGGGATTATCTAGTATGCACACTGATTAAAAACATTCTAAATCATGATGTATCTATGCTTACATCATTGCCAAAATGATTCATCTGTGTAGGATATGTTCTTATTGCCAGAACTGTCACGTATCGTCTTGGCTAGAAACACGCAGTCACATCTCATTATGGTGAACTCTTAAGAGTTTATCCAAATTCTTTCCTCTTCTGGAATTTTGTCAGGTTAATACTGCTTGACACACGTGATCTTAAAATTTTCCATTCTAAATCTAGTGTCATTTTGGCATTTGGCTGGATTTGGCCTATGTGACCAGAATTACACTGACAGTGTTCGGTTTGTTGAATTTAAAATCTATAATGTTTATCACATAGACCTATTGACAGCCAAGGAAATGTCTGTGTTTGAGACTTTTTCTGAGATACTTTACCTTTGAAATGAGGCTATATACTTTTTATCTGATTTGACATTGTATTTACATAACATACTAAATCAAGAAGTTTTGCTTACATCTGCTTAGGTTAAGCATAGCCATTTTAAGTTATAGACAGGAAATTTTAAATACTGGACAGTTTATTGTAGTGCAAATCCCTTAGCACTGCATTTCTTCTTGGTCATTTGAAATATTTGCTGGCATTTTAGGGCTGGTCATCAAAACAACCCAGAATTAAACGATGGCCTTGAAAGCAACATTTATAAAGCTGCTCTTGCTTATATTTCATTTTATAAACTCTTAAGAATGAAGAGTTTATCTGAGAAATACAGGAGGGTGACCATCCTAAATCCAGGCACTGTTAGCTTTATGAGCATATTAAGTACCCATTACTTCGTGCAAAGTATTTATTGCAAATGGGCCTTAGCTACTAAAACATGTCACTTTCTTTCATGTTCTGACTAAGTAATTTGAGAATTCTTTGGGCTGAGAATGTACAGAAAGGTTGCATACTGATTGGTTGCATACTGATTATCAGTAGGAAAAGCTGCCATCAAATCAATGCATGTAACATTCCTCACGAATTGCAAACAAGGTCTTATTGGGCACCTGTGGTAGATGGTCTCTTTCACTGCAAATGCCAGATTTCTTCTGCATTGAACTCTGATGTGATTACTATTATTTCTGGATTTGTTTTTTAAAGACACTTCTCTGCTAACAGCATCTTTCCATCCGACCATCTCTTACATCCTTCCCTGCACCAATACTATCTGGCATAGTCTGTTTCGTGTTGACTTTCCCTTACAATATTTAAAACCTCTTTAAAAAGTACAAAAAAGTAAGTTTAAGAAATTTTAAATATTGCGATTTACTTTATTTATAAAACTAACTTTAAGAAGTTTTGAATATTACCATTTCATTTTTTAGTGAAATTAAGAAGTTTTGAATACTGCTATGTTACTTTACTTAAAATTAATTTTAAGAAACTTTAAATATTGTAATTTTATTTTACTTAGTAAATTAATTTTTCAGAAGTCTTAAATATTCTAGTATGCTTTGAGCTCACTGGTAACAACCTGGAATGTCATAAAATCAGCACCGATTGTCCTTTTACTAGCCCCAGCATCTTTTGCCTCACCTTCAGAACCTTACAATTTCCCTTCAGTTCCCCACCCTTTTCTTATTACTATTTCTCTTCCTCCCACAAAAGCAACAAGGAAATGAAAAGCTAAGAAATGAAATGAAATAAAAACCCTTCCCATAACCTCTAAAACATTCAAGCATGTGACTAATCATGAGCAAAATATCTTAATTTAAACCTTGATACAAGCCTCTATGCAAGCTACTAATACTCAGTCCTACTGACTCTTCAAGGAACCACCCTGTATTCCACAGTCAACCCACATGATCTTGGGGTTATTTTAAAGAGGCAAGTTATGCTGCTTTCTTAATAGACTGAATTCAGGAGGAGGTGAATTGAATTCACCCTCCTTCTCTGTTGTTTTCAGCAGTGACAAGTAAAGTGATTTAGCAAATTATCAGGCTGCTCAGTCTTCTTATAGTGCCTAGCTCTTCACAAAAGCTACTAGTATATGTTATTGACTAGGTTTCAATTCCTCAGGCCACTAGAGAATGGAGGGGAGAATGTAATTCTGTGGCTTTGCAGCCCCACCAACCCTGATTATCATTTACCCATAACACAGCTGAGATTTCCTGAGGAAATTCTTTTCTACTACTCTAAAACAGGGCATAAGGCACACTAATGAACTCAACAGTGGTTATTTCTCAGTTAAGGAAAAAGTGCCACTTCATTTGTAATGTTAGTATCTGATTCCAAATGACATTTAAATTTTGTTAAAGCAATTGATGAGAAACTGCCATAGAAAAGGGGGAAAGTGAATCTCTTGAATCCTTGACCCCCAAGAACGCTGCCATCAGGCTTGCTGGGCATGCCATTTTCAATGACATGGACAGGGCAACCAATGCTATGACCACTATGGTTTTGTTCTGACCATTAATCTCTATTGGGGAGATCCTGCAACTCCCCTAAATGAACACACTGGAAGCACGCTGTCACCGTCAGCATTGCTTTAAAATATTCTCCTGCGTTCATAGTAAGAATAGGAAAAAAAGGTTACCTTCCTATTGGTATCTCACGTCACTTTCAAAGATCTTATACATTTATCATATCCTCTTGTGTGATGCTCGTATCCACTCTATTCATAAGGTGGGGAAACTGAGAGTAGCAGACACTATGAGTGACAACCCAACATGCTCTCCCACTCCCCATTCTTGAGCTTGCTGAAGACTTACAACTACAGTCACCTGAAGGATTTTTCTGATTGCAGGAGTGTGCTCAGTCTTCCATGGGAAGTGCTGGGATTTAACTGCCCTGAGGAACAGCCCTCAGTGAATCACAAAGGGTCTGTGGGTAAATAGCCCAAATTCGTCACCCCCAGGGAGGACCTCTCTGAGAGGTGTTTATAAGGTCTCTTAAAGGTCCCCATTGGGGCTGAACCACAGGTGTCCACAGCAATGGGCAGAATGTAATATACCTTGGACTCATTAACATGCCTTCAACTGCCTGCCTTCCTGTCTCACTTCCTCACTTCCATACTGGTACTTCCTGGGCTCATCTCCCAAATACACTACTTGTATCCAAATCTTTGTCTCAGGACGCTGCTTATGGGGAAGCTCAACCTAAGACACTGGGACACAGAGAAGATTAATATCTGCTAAATACCACACGGCTACTCAATGGAGAGTCAGGACTAGAACCCAGGACCTTGAATTTCTGGCATATTTACCAAATTAGGTTGTTTCTTGCTGATTGCTAGCACTTTATAGAGTTGGTCTCAGGACTTTTGGGCAAAACGAAGATACTGTAAATGAAACAAAGTTGTTAGATGGCTATTCCTGGCCTTTCAACAGGAACCCTGTCAACACCACCAGCAGGAGGAAACAGAAAAATGAAGGGTATAAATTACCTAGCATGATGAAAGGGACTCCCAGGAAGGTAGAATTGTATTTCCCACCAGTAAGATTGATGATCCCGGCTGCAGTGAGAGTGGCCAGGCTTATGGTCACCAATCCGAGTAGGCCTAGCCAGGGTTTGCTGCGGACGCAGTCCTGCATAGAGCAGCAAAGGATGGCCATGGTGACCACCAGGATCAGGCTGGTGACCAGGTAACGTTCTGACACGCGACTGGTCTTCTGGAAATCTTCCCTCAGTGAGGAGGACGTGTAAGGGTACATTCTGACTTTGCTGTTGGATTTCTGAAACAGTCTGACAGTGTCGCAGAAGCTGGACTCCCACCTCTCAGCCACCATGTCATTGAGACTGTTGATTGACTGCAGGTAGTAGGTAAGCTGGATGGCCTCTGCAGATTTCACCCGGTCTTTGCTGTGCACAGTGACGCCCCCAAGCTGGTGCCCATTGTACACAGCCCTCCCGTCCTTTAAGTGAGTGATTGGGTATGTGATAGCAAAATTGGTCCGATTGGTGGCCCGAGCATTCTTTAGCTCTTCCAGGACGTGCACTATGTCATCCACGATGCAAGTCTTATCATTATTCAGGATACATATATGGGCAAACGTGTAATTAAAACCAGGCCTTGGAACCTGGATCTTGGTCACAGCAGCATGCAACTGTGGGGAGAAAAATAACAGCATTTATTAATCAAATATTTCTGTTTTTGTTTTTTGGAGAGGGTGGACATTTCATCTCTAAGCTAAACAGTTCAAATTAAATGTTATAAACTTAGATCAGAAATAGGTAGGCAGTAGGAATGTAAAACACACATCTGACCAGTGGTTCTCACAATGTAGCCCCTAGAACAACAGCATCGGCATAACCTGGGAGCTTGTCAGAAATGAAAATTCTTAGGCCCCACCCCAGACCTGGTAAATGAGAATCTCTGGGGTGAAGCCCATGAATCTGGGTTTTTATAAGCCCTCTTAGGAATTCTGATGCAGCTGAAGTTTGAGAAATGCTGCATTAAAGCACCAGAATTCTTTCCACATGTTCTTTATTTTTGGCCCAACTGGTTTATATTGTTGGGAAATCTTATATAGGTCCCCTGTTTAGTTTCCTTCTTCAAAATGTAACATAAAAAGTGAACTAAGGTGCAGTTCCAAATGCAGAGATCCTCTGCTGGCTCGTCCTTTGATGCCGATTTGCAGGACAGCTAAATGATCTCTTCATCCAATTAAATCACTCTCTAACATAAAAGACAAGAGGTTTACCTTGAGGGTCCTTATTTTCTCTGGTTTTCCTTGCCTACATATATGGGAACAGAGCTGTAAATGTAAGAGCCTGGTTAGGATATACGGGAATCGTGCTAAAGGAGAACAATGGAATTTATTCTACACACCTTGTCCCATGTTGACTTTGCTGTGTCCAGGTACTGAATGCTTGTCATCAAAGTACATATGAGAATACAGGCACTAATTTCACTGCCCCTACTACATGCCAGGCACAATTCTAGGCCTTTATATAGATAAACTTATTTAATCCTTACAAGAAATTACAATGTAGGTACAGTACTTCATTTTAGAGATGAGAAAATCGAGATTTAGAGAAGCCAGAACACTTGTCCAATGTCACACACATAGTAAGAGGCAGAGCTGGGCTATACCAGGCAGTCTGACTCCAGAACCTGTGTTCTTGGCCCCTCACCATACACCTCTAGGCATCTGAATCCCTAAGTTCTTGTTAGCAACTTATTTCTGAATGTGCGCTTTTACTGCCCCACCACAGATGCTCAATTTCAGATATGTATGAGTGTGTGTAATCTACTATCTAAGATAAGAAAACAAGGCAGTCGAGGGTGTGGCAGGAATAAGGGACTTAAATGAGCTACTGCCATGTGTTAGGGCTTCATGCCTTAAATTCTCTCAACAAGTCACTTTACACATAAGAAAACTGGGGCTCAGGGTGGCCATGTAGTTTAAAAATGGTACCAGGTTACTGTTTCAGTGGTAGCTACACAGATCCTTCGTTTAACTGTTTTGACTCACCAGCAGCTTATCTTCATGGTGGCTTTGCTTTTTCTGTGCAAAATGAGGCCAGTGACAAACATGTAGTTGAATGTTAACTAAACTAGTACATCTACGACTGTGCTTAGCACTGAGTGGACTTGCTCAAGAGAACAGGTAGCCATTATGACATATCTGATGAATGAAGGACATTTCATCTGTAAAGAAACTAGAATTTAACATTCACAGAGTTGTTATACTGTAGCTGTGCCACTACAACTCATTACCTTCTCCATGATCCTGATATATTTTTTTCAAATCTGTTCTAAATAGATTATCTGTTAAGACATTTTGCTGCACATGTGCCTGGATGAATGGGATCTTATACTTTTAAAAAAATGTCTGAGGGGCACCAGCTGTCAAAGTCCTTTCAATAGCACTGAGCATGAGTTGAGAATCCTAATTCTCAGTGGCCCCTTGCCCCACATCTCTTCATGGGTACCAATCCACACATTCAGAAAACATTTCATTGTATTATGTTTGGCTGAAATAATTTGAATTCCTTTATATAAATATGTAAACACATACACGCATGTGTGCGTGCACACACACATACACACACACACAAACACATACATGCAGGGATACCTAGGAGGCTATTTTCACAGCGTAACCATATGCTAAGTGTTTGTTTTGATGCTTTGGGATTAATGGTGAGCAAAATGTCTTCAATGATTTTAAGCTGTGAAAGTGTGTTTTTATCAATTCTTCTCTAAGCATGGCCCCATGAATTTTGATTAAAAGAACTCCTAGCTACAAAACATTTCAAATTATAAAATTATTTTAGAAGAATGAAGAACTTAGAGGGATTTAAAGAGAGAGAGAGTTTTGATAAGTTTTGAAGACAGACTTTGGGAAAAGATTCAGAATAGGCTAGAAAAGGAGTGGTATTGAAAGCATGCCTAAGTTTAATATTTAGTGCATTGTTTGTTCCCATGAACAGTGTTATAAATCTCTTTTAAAGTGATTACTAAATATGTCAAGAGAAAAAGATTGCCAAATAAGATGGTGTTAAGCCACAGGGCTGAACCCAATTATAGCAAGGGGATATTTTCCATCCATTCTGTATGACGACCGTGCTCTGCTGGGTGGGGAATTGTTAACTATTTAGTGATCTTGCAGCTCTGCAGATCTACTGCTATGACCCCTAGGGCCATACATTGAAGAAAGCAGACACCATGTTAACCCCTGTACTACAAGACCATAGGAGCAAGTCTTGGAAAATGAGAACCTTAATGAAGTTTGAGAGGGAAGGTTTCTTAACTCAGTATCAGAGCTGCTGTAAGATGCAATGCCTTGACTTTCTGATGGAGTGGTGGGCAGAACCTGTCACTCTTGCTTCTGAGTGGCAGGGTTCTGCAGAGTGGCAAAGCAGCCAGAGAGAGGGTGTTGGCTGAGGCCACCCACCTAGCAGAGGGAATCTGTAGGATTCTACTGTGGGATAAGAGATGAGAGGATAATAAGAGTTATAATAAGGAGTTGAGGCTCCCTTCTATGACTTCTGAAGTGGCTCAGTTCTGATCTTTGGTGCTTATGAGTACACATCAAATACAGAGACAATCCAGTCTTGGAAATCTACATAGCCATGAGCAGATATACTGTGCATGCTAGCTGGACATCTATGTACACCGAGTTTTAGAGTGTCCTGATTTACTTTCCTAAAAGAACCCCACTCAAGGCAGTAGAAACATTAGCGGATGTTCTAAACTGTAGTATCAGATATATTCACAGGAGGAAAAGGAAGCCAGATAAACCACAAAATGGACAATTGCAATCCACATAAGCTTATTACTGAACTAGGTAAGACACACTCTTCTCAGAAGAGAAAAAGAAGGAAAAAATGACACAAACTAATCATCCTGACCCTTAATGTAGTCTAAATCTGTCATGTAAAATAACATATAATCCATGTTTCTATAACTATGTATAGATTCTTGATTATTCATTCAACACACTTTCAACAAGTGCTCCTCAAATCTACCATGCTGCCAATAATAGGATAATTTCCCTGAATTTAGCGTGCTTCCATTCACACATGGAAAAATCACGAGATGCAATGTTCAAAATAAAGGGAAAATCCTAAAGGTGAAGAACGCCAAGTGCTTTGTACTAGTAAAGCCCAGTCCAGTGTCAATCCCAATCACGATATTTTTGATTATTATTGTATTTGCTGCCAAAGAGACCAAAACTGAATGTTAAATTGAGATTCGTTTTAAGGCTCTGAACACATCATGTAAATGATTAGCTTCTTTGCTCTCATCATCCTTCAGGTTAAGAATGATAATGATAACAGTAAGTAGTTTTCTAAGTGTTAAAAACTTACGGTTAGCTTACAGTTAAAAAATGTATTCAAAGCAGAGACTCTGGAAATGATGACGCTATTATCCTCATTTTATAGCTGGTAAAACTGAAGCCTGGAGACTTTCAATCACTTACCTAAGATGACTCAGTAAATAAGGGTAGACCTGATTCTCAAGTCTTACTCCACAGCAGGACACTTAGCCTAGACCAACACATTCAGCAGTGAGCATAAAGAGAACTCGGGGATGGACAAAGAATTGTCAGCCTACCTGGATCAAATGACTGGCAGTGGATATGACTGAGCTATGGGATGGCCACTATGGGAGATCTGGCGTCCAAAAAGACCAGACATAATCCAAACAGCCAAACTCATGTTCAGACAGCAGCAGCATGACATAGCAGTATTAACAGGTAATGAAGGGGATGGGTTTTGAGTTTAATGATTTTTCTTCATCTAGCTTCTGGTGCTGCTAAATAAAACTTTTTGAAGATAGGCTTCCTCAGAAAAAGGTCACGGGGCACAATGAAATCCAGTAATAAGTTTTAACTTCCAGTGTGGCTTCTGCTACCTACCTTAAGAGTGTCAGAAACCTCAGGAATGCCACTCTGCTTAAGTCTGAAACTTCAGGTCTCATATTTATCAGTAAGAAAGAGTGTTGGTCTAAGCTAATCTTTAAGGCAGACCCTTCCAGTTCTAATACTGCATAATTCTAAGATGAATGACATCCACAAACTATATAATCAGATACTAGGTGAGAGAAAGTTAACTTAATAAATATCAATTTGAACATTATAGCTACTCGAGGTATGCTTTTCTGACACAATGAAGTTCTTTTTAGGCAATCAGAACTAAAAAGATGAAACACAGGAGGAAAACAGGGTAAAGAAAATAGGTTTACTAAAAAAAAATTTTAAAAAAGATTTCCCTCTCTCTCAGTGATTTCCCATTGGGGAAGCGCTGGCTCTTATAATCCCCTTCTGCCAGATCCTGGGACAAAGCCAGTGTGGGCTGCTGGTCACGACAGGCCAGAGTCTAATTTCCTCTCTGCCTCTCCTTGGCAGATCTTCCTCAGAAGACAGCAGGGACACTTTCTAGAGGACAGTACAGAAGGGAGGAAGGATGTATCTGCTCCTGAGTGGTGATTAACATACGAAAAATGCCTGTGGGTTTAGAGGATCTTATACAATACCTTGTGGGGATTTTTTTTTTGTATTTGTTTCTTGTTGAAAAGGGAAGAGGGAAGGCAGGAAGGCTACTCTGCCCACGCAGGGCAATTAACACACTCTGGGAGCAGGCTCAAGCAGTCCCA